CAGTGAGCCTTAAACGTGCTAAGTGAATATGAGTTGTTTATATGTACATCAGTATGCCACATATATTTAGGGGTGGGTACCTTTGTTTCTCACAGATTATTGCTTCCAGAAGATTAGGGAGTTCTAGGAAGAGAAGTAGAGGAAGTTGTAGATCAGTCATAAGAACCAGTAGCTCCCCCTTTCTGGAATTTTAAAGCCGTGTGGTGAAACAAGACTTTCTTCAATTTTGTGACCGAACTTTAAAAAAGGTCCAGGTATACCTTTTAGTTTTGGAACTTGGTGCCCTCGTTCATGGAAAAAGTTATTGTCCATCTGCTGTCCTCTGTCAGAGTGGCCAAGTAACTGTTTTGGATTCTCTCTAGACAGAGATCTTGGGTTATTTTCCTAAAGCTCTTTGTTACTAGACTTCTGCAGTCATCTCTTGATCCTTGACCTTGATTATTTGGTTCTAGTGTTCTCTGATTCTCTTAATTTTTTTCTGTCATCTTTTCCTTTTTATTGCCAGCACCACAGCACCTTCTTGATTCTCAGTGCTACTTCATTCACAGTTTGTCAAATGCAGAAAAACTATAGTTTTACCTCAGTGTTTTATTAGTTTCCCAACTCCCCTTCCCCTTTTTCTTCCAAGTCAAACGAACTTCAGCCAGCCCTCGCCTGCCAAGCCATGTTGGCCTCTGTTGGCACTTTTTCTGATCAACCCTGGTGCTCTAAGTATTTATTCATCACCTCATCCCCCATTGATGTCTGTTCACAAACATTGTTTATATTTTTAAATATGCCCAGCCTACTTTCTTTGTTTAAGTCCTAGTCTTTTTTCTGCCATTCTTTTATTCTCCTTCTTGCATCCCTCTATATCAGATTCATTTAGATATCTCATTTCCTTCATCAGATATCTCACTTCCCTCATCTGTATCCTCCAATAATTCTTTGCCACATTTTCTTAGAAATGTAGTATAAGAGTGGACTCTTCAGAGAGCTATTGATTTTATCCTTTTATTTAACAGATAAGGAAACTGATCCAGAGAAAGAAAGTGACTTGCTTAAAATTACAAAGTTCATTTGGGTGTAATTCTTAACTGCTAGAATATGGCCTTTCCATATCCTTCAAACCTTCACTGTCATACTTCTGTCTTTAAGACTTCCCTTTTGGTAAATACTCCTTTGAGTTCCTCAGGGACACCAGACATTAGTGTTGTAATGTGTTAGTATGGAAAGGGGAAGGAAAAAAGGATGTTATTGCACACAGTATTACCTCTTCTTCCTAAATTGTTTTATCTGTGTTTACAATTTGCCTTGTTCAATAGAGTTTAAGTCCCCTAGCTATGTTCTTCTTAATTTTATGCCTTGGTTAAAGGTCATTAAAAAAGAGTAGGTATGCATTCGCTTTGCAAACATTTATTTATACCTTTCCTATGCCTGACTACGTATTGGGCACTAAGAATAAAGAGGTGACTCCAAAATAGCCCCTAATGTCAAGGAGCTAGCTCATAGCCCGATAGGTGAAACAGGTCTATCAAGAAATATAGTATGACGAGGACTATACTTCTCCCATAGGGCAATAGAAATAAAACAGAGAGGCTTGCTTAATGGTCTTGGGGAAATAGAAAATCCTTGTAGAAGAAGGCACATTTAAGCTAGACTTTTTGGGATAAGTGGAATTTTATAAGACAGAAAAGTCTGATAGTGGCCCTCTCTCCTCAAAACCCTCAATTGATGCCCATTTTTATTTTTAAAAACCAAAGTCTTTATTGTGCCCTGGATGGCCCTACACAGTCTGGTCCCCCATTACTCTCTGACCTTATCTCTTTTCTCCTTCGCCTCACCCTCCTGCTCCCACACCACTGGCCTCCCTGCTGTTCTTCGAACATACCAGGTACACTTTACCTACCTCAGGGCCTTTGCACTTGCCTTTCCTTCAGTAGACACAGGTGTCATGTCTTCATCTTGTTCACATTTTTTTCTCAAAAAGTACCTATTCAAGTGATGTGTCTTTCCTGACCATCCTATTTAAATGACACCTACTGTCCAGCAGGCCTTGTCCCCTCTCCTTGCTTTATTTCTCTCCATATCATGTGTAACATTCTACTTAATTTACTTTGTTTGCCTCCCTCCACTTCCTACCCCACGCAAGAATAAGCTTCAAAAAGGCAGAGACTTTGATTTTTCATTTCTCTATCCCTAGTGGCTAGAGCAGGGCCTGGCACATAATATACTTGTTGAATGAATAGTCATATGACAAATATCTGCTTTCAATAAATATATTATATGATTAGATTTTTAAATTCTCATAACTTCATTCTAAGTGTTACAGGATCTCAAAAATCTCTGGAAACTGCATTGGAAGTTAACATCTTGCTTAGAAAGTTTAGCTGGACTCTCATTGCTCAGACTATAATAAGAATGTGGGAAAAAATGAGGAGTAATGAAAAGTTCTATCTGAAAGTAAAAGTGTTAGCTGTGTGACAGTTTAATGTGGGTATCTATTCCCATAATCCTTGTTTATTCCCATAATTCTGTATTTCCCACCCTTCTCCCCCTTTAAGGTAAGAATTAGTAAGCCAAAAAAGAGAAATGAAAAAATAAATTAATCACCAATAAAAATCAGTTTTTGTCTTTTGATTGTGATGTGAGCTCTTAAGGATGATTTGTAAAAGAAAGCTAAGATTTTTCAGGACAGAGGCTTGGAAGTTGTTGATTAATGAGTGACCATATTACTCAGAGTGATGTGGCCCCTCCAGCCTGGTGTAGCCCTTAGAATGTACAACAGCCACAAATGTTAAGACTAATCAGCACTTGGGGAGCAGGATTCCCTGCTTCTACCCACTGGTGAGACTATACTAGAGCTGTAGCATTGTATAACTTTACTTAGTTAATTTTCTGTTCTTTTTTTTCCTAAATCTTCAATATGGTAAATTGGTCAAAGAGCTCAGTTCTGACTCTAAACTGTACTATAAAAAAGCATGTCATCTTAGGAGGCAGTGGCTGGAAGTTAAGTCTTGGGTTCTGTTCCTTCTTCTGTCTCATTTTTTCTCTGGTCTCATTTCCTCATCTACATGAATAGAGATAGGTCTGGATTAGATGACCTCCGAAGCTCTCTATCTCAAGCTTGGGCAGTCTGACTTTCCATTTGCAAGTAAAAACTCATGACCACCCAAATAGTGTGCCCTGCCTTGAATGCAAAAGGAATAGGAATACTTTTCTCCCCATTTTAGTTTCCTCTGAGAAAATGGTTGCTCTTTTTTAGTTGGATTACAGCATCGCTAGAATGCATGTGTAATTTGTGTGAAACTCAACAGCTTTTCCAGCATTCCAGATGCTCTGTATAATATGCACCAGTGTTATGGTTTTTCTTCCCTAGGAGTTACTAGGGGAATGCCAATGATGTTTGTTCCCCTTCCTTTCTATTTTGCATTAGGATGCAACATAATTGACATTTTGGAGCTATTACACTTGATGGCTCCTGTCAACAAAAATATATTAATTCAAGAACCTTCTGAAATACCACTTAAATGAGATCTATGTTTCCCATCTCCACACTTCTAAATAATACATTTTTAATCACCTTTGCTTGGTATAGCTCTTTTACCTTCTGCAAATCTTTCCTATGACTTCGTGCCCCTAGTCAATTTGTTAATCAGCTAGGGCCCACATAGGTCTACTTTGAGGCTGAGAGAATCAGAACAATATAGAAACAACCATTAGTAGAAAGAGCTCATGAGTTAGAGAGCTGGGTTCTAGCCCTAGCCCTGTCAAACTGAGCCTCAGTTGCCTTATACATAAAATGGGGATAATCTCTGTCTTGCCCTCATTGTGAGTTTAGTGGGAGGCTCAGATAAAGTAATAAAAATGCTCTTGAACTGTAATGAGGTAACAATAATAATAGACATAACTTGCCTACAAACTTCCAGAGAGTTAGAGGCGGTGCCAGAATTAGTACCATTATACTCACACCTAGCCTGGCACTGTGTTCAAAAAGCCAGCACCACTTATTGGCAGTTTTAGCATCTGAGAGGAGTAATTTTTCCTTCCCTTTCTTCCTCACTTTACTTGCTTAATTTAGTTTTAGGTAGTCATTCTATTAACATTTTAATGCTTGATTTGTTTTACTTATAATATGTTTTCCTTTTTTCTGCTTTTTAATCCAATCAGGAAATTTGTACATAGACTCCAGGCAAAATCTCCCTCCTTCGGTGATGCCACCCCCTGGTTATCCTCATATCCCACAGGCACTCAGCACTCCAGGAACAACGATTACAGGTAATTTGGGGTGTGGTGTGTTGAAGTTGGTACTCAGAGTTTAATATTGAAAAGCTTTAGGTGTCCCAACAGTAAACACGGCTCCCTAAGGATGGAGTGAACTCTCTGTTAAGGGAGGTGGGGTACAAAAGTCTGGACAGCTACTTGGCTCCAGTCCTGGTGAAGGGATTTTAAGTGTCATTTGGTGTTTGAACCATATGACCTGAAGCCTCTTTTAGCCCATGATGCTATCTTTGATTCTAATTATTGTCCTGTCTCCCTAAGAGGTAGGGTGCATAGAGCTTGTCCTGGGGTCTTAGGTAAAGTCTGACTTTGATAGGACTTCCGCAGGCTTCAAGAACCTACTTTGATTAGCTCCTATATAGTCATTCTGATGAAGTTCCTCTGGCTATAGTTTCCAGAGAAGTACCTATAGAGGACGTAAGTTTCAGGAGTTACTAGTTGATAAATTTTTTCCCCTAGGTTCCTGAGTGTAGGATGGTATATTTAGCAGGGCAGTAGAGACACATTGTTAGAGGTTGGAAGGGGTCTTAAGGATTATCTAGATGAAGAAACGGAGGCTCAGAAGGGGAGAGAGCTTGCCTAGAGCCACCAGTTTGGTAAAGTGGCCAAACTAAGACTTAAGCCTTGACATCTGGATTCAGAGTATATTTTTCTCATGTACTATGCTACCTTTTACTTAGGCTGTTTGAGAAGACAGAAGGTGATGTGAGGAGTAGATTTAAAACCCTAAAAAGAACTGTGTGCCAAGCAGTAGTAAAGGAAGAGTTGGGACTAAGTGACATGTCCTTTCATGAAGAGAAAGGAATAAATGTTATCTGTCCTTAGTGCTCACCAGTAACTTGTAGGTGGCGAGACACAATGATTAAGACTCTGGAGCCAGATTCCTAGGGTTTGAATCCTGGTGCTTTGACACTTAATAACTACCCAACTCTCCTATTTCAGCTTCCCTGTCTTTAAAAAGGAACTAATAAATATACCTAACAACCAAGGTTGTTAAAAGAATTAAATGAGAATTATATAAATCACTTACTTAGTGCCTGGCACATAATCAGGAATTTATATGTTTTTTAAAAATATATACAGGCAATTCTGCTATACTGCGATATACAGAAAACTTTACTAGTATTTTGTATAGTTGTACATTAAAAATTTCAGGGCTTATGAGAAAAATAGCAGCATATTTCTTGAATCTTTGTAATCAGAGTACTAACAAAAAGTATAATCAGTAAAAATTCCACAACAGTTAAAAGGATATGTTTAATTCCTAATAAAAGGATAAATTCTACAAATAAAGATTATTATTTGTTTTTAAATCACATCTGGTTTGGAAGGGGATTTGTCAAAGCTATGGAGATATGGTAGAAGGCACCAAAGTTGGGGAACACATACAGCACACGCCACACTAATCCAAGAAGAGGAGCATGGGGAGAGTGGACATCCTGTATCTGCTGTGTTCCTCCATGGCTGTGTTCCTACACAGCACTCAGCTGTGTAGATGGTCTCTGTGTTCACCTGCTTTTACTTGGTGGCACAAAAATGAACTTGCCAGGGAAAATTTACTGTGACCCAGTGTGACTTCAGTGGTACGTTGACATCATTCTCATGTGAGCCAATTCATGTTACTGAAACATATATTGAAGATGAAGAGACTAAGAGAAATGGTTGCATCAGCCGTCGGGTACTCTAGCACACTCGTTATGTCCTTTTTGCTGCAGCCTGGTTTAATGGAAAAAGTGTTGATTTTAGAGTCAAATGAACTGAGTTCAAATCCTTTCTCTTCCCCTTACTAATCATATGACTTTGTGTAACTTGCTCATCCTTACCTATGAAATGAAGATCATAAAAGACGTCTTGTTGAAGGCTTCTGGGTGTATTAGTGAGATAACGTGCCCTGAGTGCCTGACACATAGGAAGTGCTCTATATAGGCTTTTGTTTACTTCTCCCTTTCTTTTCTACTGAGTCACTACTGGCATTGCCTTCTTCCAGGCCATCACGGAGCCATGAACCAGCAGCACATGATGCCTTCCCCAGCCTTCCAGATGAGGCGCTCTCTGCCTCCAGATGACATCCAGGATGACTTTGATTGGGATTCAATTGTGTAGAGCTTGTTTCTGCAAGGCACCAGACCAGTGAAGGGAAAGGTTTAAGAAAATCCAGTTAAGAAAGTTGCTAATCATTTTACCAATGTTATTGAAATTTCTTTTGAAGACAATCAAAAAGATTTTAGCTGGATAACTTACTGCTTTTATCTGACCCAAACAAGTACTACATGTTTGTCTCCCTGCCAGCTGCCCTCTGTAGCTCCTAACTGTTGTGTGATTTGAACAGCTTTTGCATATTTGTGTCAATTTGATGTTGACCACAAGTGCCAGACTGATTTTTTCAGACAGAGCCTATTTTGCTGCAAGCAGTTTATAGATACATATGTGTAAATATATGTACAAAATTTACCGAAAGGCTTCAATTTTTTTCTAATTGGATTATTACATCTTGAAAGTTACTGTGAGTTTTTATTCCTTGTTAGGCTGTTTTCTGCAGGATGCTTTTAACTGATGTAGGCAACTGAAAAGAAATAGGTTTTTTCAAAGCCCAGTTTCCCCTTATTTAATCTTTTTCAGAAATGTGAGTATTGAGTTCTACCCAGTAAGTCAAAGAACCCAGAGTTACTCTCCAAACAATCCAAAGGGGCATGTTGTTCCTGAGCAGCATAAAGAACTGACCAAATTTTTTTGATGGTCAGGGATTATAGAGTTTATGTTATACCTTATCAATGTCTGTTTTCCTAACTCTGCCTTATCTGCCTTATAACAACTCTAAAATTTATTTGATTGATTAAAAGCTGAGCATTGCGTAGCTCTTTAAACAAGTCAATGCCTCCACTTCATTTATATATTTATTATTCAAAAGTGTTATTTTAGTATTTATTGCTACCTTCTGTGAACGCTCAGCTTATTGGGTTCATTAAGGAGAAACGCCGTGTCTGAAAGCACAGAATTATTTTTCTTGATAAAGAGTTTACAAGCAAGACAGATTGTTATTCTCTTTATCGTCATTCTTTATACCATGCGAGTATATTTCTCTATCTTATTGAGACTTATTAGCTAAGTGGGATTTTTTTTGGAGTTTGCATCAGAGTTCATTTGGGCAACAGAATGGAAGGGCATTGTCTATAAAGCAAATTTCCCCATTCATTCTCTTTCCATTTAGGAAGCACTCAAAGGAGGATAGAGCAACACAGATTTTATTTGCCTTAGTCTTCAGTGCAGTTTTTGTTACGTGGCCTGCTGTTTCTGTTGTCTTGTGTTTCTGTGATTGCCTGATATTTGGTTTCTTCTTTGAAATGCAGCCTGCTTCTTGGGGGTTAGTAGTAGTAGTAGTTTGTTTATTGTTTCATATCACATCACAGTTACTTTGCATGGATTGATTGTCTTAGTTTTATAATAAAACTAAAAGAAATGAGACTTTAAAAAATGAATAGATTTCGAATTGGTTCCTTAGACCAAATAAAAAGCAGAATTTCTTTCAGTTCTAGTGGGGAAATAAATATGTTCCATCAAATTAAGGAGCAATAACTGCTCGCTGGTTGCTTTTTGGCATCTGTAATCTCTATCAGCCATACTTAAATCACTTTAATTAGCCTTAGTGATTCTTAGTAATCTCTACTTGAACTAAACAGACATCTTTGTTTCTGTATATGTGTATGTGAGAGTGTTTGTGAATGTGTATGGGTATTTTTTTTTTTTAATGGAGTGTTGCCTTGAATGATGAATCACTGGGAAGCCAGCCATGGTAAAGGCTGGTAAGGTTGGGAAGAAAGGAAGAGCTTTTTGTTCCTGTTGTTTGGACCCTGCTTGGCATGAAAAAGGAAGCTCAGTTCCAGCCCCTTGGATCAGTGAAAATCAGAGGATTCTGGAAAGGTAGCCAACAGGACCCTCTTAGATGGATAACATAGGCAAAATGAGATAGCCTGCAGAGTAAAAGCTTGGAAAAAAAAAAAGTGGGTGATTTTCAATAGTCCGCTTAAGTCACTGTTCTCTAGATACCAAAATAATCATTTTGAAACTTCTAATTGCTTGGGTAGCAATGTGCACTTTAAATAATTTGGGTATTGATATGTGGTCTCATATTGAATGGTTTGAGTAGAAACCACCGATGAAGATTTTATAAATTGTATGAAGCTAATTTCCTATTTGGCAATCATTTACTGATATGCAGTGATCAATATTTTTATAAGAATTTAAACTTACCAAGAATGGCCCTGGAGGCAGAGCCTCCATCCAGACCCATCTCACTCTTGTGATTCAGGTGACCTGGGAGCCCAGGACAGGTCTTCTCAGTGGGCTCCAGCCAGACAGAGCACCTGGTGAGGTGCAGAGCATCCCTCTAGTGGCCATTTCAGTTGGTAGTTGTTAGTGCAAAGTAAGTTCTGTTTGGGGCTTAAATTGACTGAAGACTTTTGGGGAAAAGAATAATAAATGCATATAATCAAATGGGGGTACTCTGTCCAGGAGAATAATCCGACTGGCATTTGTGGCAGTTTTCGAAATGTAAATGTATTCATGTGTGTTCTTGTAAATACATGTCTCTCAGATGTCCTTTGAAATGGGAGGGAATCAATCGGGGATTATTTCAAATGGAATAGAGTATTTTGATATTGTTCATTCAGAGGGTGATGTGTACATATCTATATTGTATATATGTGATGAAAATGCATTGGCTTTTTGTGCAAACACAACCTGCTCTCTGTACTGCTGTTGGACAGTCAGTGTTTTAATGTTTCTACAGTTTTGCTATTGCACGATTTCATATTTTGCCTCTATGATGAACGGCACCCATTCTTTGTAACTGTTTAGTGCTGTAAAGAAATATTCCAAGTGTCATTAGGATTGTTGCTGCCAGAACTGATATGCATGAATGGCACTTAAAATAAATATATTATGTTAACTCTATTTATAACATTGATTCGTCTGTCATTTGCTGCAATTAAGGGAACAAGATTGGAGCTAGTCCCCACAGTCAGTCCTTGGGGCCACGGAGACTGTCTCATGTATTGCTGCCTCAGAATAGTCATTGTTGCTATTTATTGAACATCTCACTAGCTCCATGAACTTGGGGACGTTTTTTAATTTCTCTGAGCCTATCATTTTTCTCATTTACAGCGCCTGTAAAATGAGGATAATACCTACCTCCTAGAGTTGTAGTGAGATTAATGCATTTAAACATTTAGAACAACACCTGGAACATAGAAAAGTACTAGTATGTGCCAGGCGCTGTGCTAAGTAGATATTGTTATCCTATAGTATGGGAACAGTGCAGATAGTGGTCCAGTGGCTTACCCAGATCCTTTGCTGGCAAGTGGTAGAGCCAACGTTAGGAACTGGGCGGCACAGCAGGAAGTGAGAGGCAAGAGAGCAGTAAAGTTTCATCTGTATCTGCAGCCTCTCCCCAGCACTAGCATCACCGCCTCAGCCCCCACCTCAGATCATCAAGCATTAGATTCTCATAGGAGCGCCAGTCCCTGGTGCCAGAAAGGTTGGAGACCGCTACCCTAGACAAAAGGGAGAAGACGTTTCCATTTATACCACTGCTCTGAGCCAGGCATGGAAGCTGGATTAGCATGGGAAGGTGGGAATGAAGCAGGAGAAGTGATTGGTTGCTAGTAAAGAACCAAGCACATCAGTCCTAAGTGGTGATGTCCCGACTGTGGAAACAGGCTCAGAGAGACTAAGGAACAAGGAGACCAATAACACTGGTGGAAATGGACTTGAAGCTACAGCCCGTTTCACTCAGGAAAACACTCTTCCAATCCCATGACCCGGCCTAAGGCCTTGTGCTGCTTATAACAACCCATACAACACTGCCAGGAAAATCTGTTTGTTATAATTTTACAGATGGGGAAACAAGTTCAAAAAGGTTAACTGGCCTAAGTTCTCACAACTAGTAAGAGGCTCTGGGGTAAAACAGTCTGGTGGGCGTGACTCCAAAGTTCATTTCTTTTTATCCCACTGCCATCCACAGGGATAGTGCCTTCCCGCTCTGTGTGTGTGTGAGAGAGAGAGGGACTTGGAGAGGGAAGCTCTGCTTTTCTCTGATTACAGGTAAATTTTGGTCATCTGTAGTGCCTCTGCAGGACTGTAATAGGGGGCATAGTTAAATGTCACTTTGTGCTGATTCAGGTGCAGAAGTACACCTTTGTTGCTGGTCAAGTGCAAATATATATATTTCCATTTAATATATATTTTATATTTAATATATTTATTTTATATGGAAATACACATATAAAAGATCATTAAGATGCATGTTTAATTTTCAAGGCTGTAGCATGTTACCATGTGCAAAGGGCTGCTATTTATAGATAAGCCCTTACCAGCTGGCTAAAGCAGTCCTGGAAAATCCACGTAAGGAAGGGTTAACTGCATCTAAATGCCTTAGAATCACAGAACTATCTTGAAGGTTTTAAGCTAGAAGGGGCCTTTGAAATCATCTAATACAACTTCTACATTTTGCTGTTGATAACATTGAGACCCAGAGAGAAGTGATTTGCTTCAAGTCATGCAGCTGGTTAGGGGGAAATTGGAAGATGGGGAGGAGTAGAGAACATCATTTACCTGGCAGGCATACGAAGTTCCTACATACATTCTTATTTGATCTACATAAGAACCTGTTGCTGTAGTACTGTTATTGCCCCATTTTACAAGAGGAAAACTGTCTCAGAGAGGTAGAGCACAATGCAGCTGCATCCTGAATGCATTCACTCAAAGCACACCAATTTAATTATACACAGTTGGCCAAAAAGACAATGGAAATCTTAAATAATGTTACAGTGAGTATTTGCACTTCAGTGTGAGATGGAAGATTCGAACCTGACACCCTGACTGGTATCTGCTGCCATGTACCTCTCTGCATGAGCTTCTCACTGTTGAGTATAATTCCAGTGGATAAAGATGCATATTTTCTGCACGACATTACCCTTGGATGCAAGCCAGCTGCGTAAAGACACACTATAACCAAGAATTAGAAGAACTGGCTATGTTGGGCTTTGGGACATGGTGTGTTTATCTCCAGTGTTTTTCAAGAGTGATTTTGAACTTACCTCTCATGTCTCCATATGATACGTGACTTGTCAATGTGCGAAGCACAAACTTGGTAAATGGCTGCACCAGAGCCAGAATTCAGTTCAACCTCAGGTCAGGGCGTTTCCGACTCCCTAAGTCACACTGACCCCAGAAATAAAGAATACGATAGCTACCATTTATTACTTGTTACTTAATTTACTTATTCCAAGCACTTGATGTAAATGATTATATTTACTCTTCAAGTGTGCGGTAGACACCACTATTATCAACCTCATTTTGCAAATGAATCTGAGCCACAAAGTCACTTCCCCGGGGGTCATCCAGCTTGTAAGTGGTAGAAGTAATAATAATAATAGCAGCAGCAGAGCCATTATTTCAAACCTTGGCCTTCCAGCCCAAATGCCTGCCCTTTGCACCATGCTGTGCTGTCAGTTCCTGGGCTCTGTTTGGCCTAGAGTGAGGGCCTTAGACCAAAGCAATGAGGCTGCAGTGAGCAGTGGGGGCCACCAGAGGGCAGAGGACTGTCGAATGTCTGCCTTTCCTCTCTTGGAAGGTTTCATCATTGGGCTATGCTCCCTTTCTCCGCAGCCCCCAGAACGAGGTGCTCCTAAAGACAGGGACCCAGTGGCCACCCCTTAGAATTGTCTTCTAAACCAGAGCTTGCTGGAGAAAGCCAAGGAGCCCCTCTAGTTCTCAGCAATGAATACTAGCAGGGCCCACTTCGGAGCTGCCTCTGAGCCTGCTGCCCCAGCCCAGGCCTCTTGATGCTCATTGCCCCCTCTACTCCAAGATTAGGGTGGGGAAAGTCACCCCACTATCAACCCCAAACTCTGAGTCTCCTGAGGCACTGATTTTCTGGGACCAGTTGATGCTGGGACTGGCATTGTTTAAGTAGGTGTGGCGAGGGCTGGCCAGTGCCACTGTTGAGTCCACCCTTGCCCTCCCAGCCCTGCCTCTGAGCCTAAGCAGGCATTGATATTCTCATGCACTCAGGCACAGATTCATG